GCCATGGGAGAGAAGCCATTTGAAGTGGGTTAAGAAAGAGATTGAGGCAGAGAAGAGGCAGAAGCCAGTACAGGTAGATATGAGAGAGCAGGTAGCTGTCGGGACATCTGGCAATGTCTGGAGACATATTTCATTGTCACACCTGGAGAGGGAGAGAGAGTTGCTATTGGCATGCAGTACAAAGCCAGCATCCTACAGTGCATAGGGCAGCCCCCTACAAGAGTTATGCCATCCAAGTGTCCATAGAGCTAAGGTCAAGGTACCCTGGAGTGAGTGAGGGGCAGAATGGGAGAGATGGCCAAAGAGGTAGATGCCGATTGGAGAGCCAGAGTTTTTGGAACCAAAGAAGCTAATTCAGAAATTCTTATGCAAAAATATGAGAGACTAGCTTGGAAAAAAATGAAAAGAAGGAATAAACAAGAGTCAGTAGCCTCAGATCAAAACCCTGTGACAAATGGCTAGTCAATACACAGAGCTCTTACAAATGAATATGAGAGCTTTCAAAAGAGTTCTTTGAGGAAATGAACAAGAGACAGAGAGGTTTCAAGAGAAGACACAAATTGATGATAAACATGAGGGAATTGCTCTATATTATTCACAGTCTAAAGAACTATAACAGCAATAAAAGAAGTACAAGTTTGAGGTAGATCTCAGTGGTAGAGCTGAGCATTCACAAAGCCCTAGCACCGAATGAATGAATGAATGAATGAATGAATGAAATAGCATTTTTCAAAGATAAAAGAGCAAAGATTATGTGTGATTTTACACAAAGCTGTCAAGAGCTGTTTGACAGCACAGCTCTTAAGAACATACATTACCACAGCCTCTAAGAAAATTGCTTCATATTGGTAATGACTGTTCCAGAATTAAACACAAATCCCTTGAGCCATCATATCATTCTAGGAAGATATTTTTTTTAATCTTTAAATTTTTATTTATTTTATATATTTGAGTATTATGCCTGCATTTATGTAAGTGCACCCATGTGTGCAATGCCCATGGAGGCCAGAAGAAAGCATCGGATCCCCTGGTACTGGAGTTTTGGATGGTTGGTTGCCATGTGGGTGCTGGGAAGTGAGGCCAGGTCCTCTGCAAGAGAGGACCAGTGCTCTTAACTGCCGAGCCATCTCTCCAGCCCCTAGGAAATATTCTTGCTTATGTGGACAAAGATTTACGTGCAAATCTCTTTTGGATAGCACTAACCATACACAGAAGTAACCGAAGTGCCCATCAATAGGGAACTTGTTTATTCTATGGTACACACAGTGGAGCAGCTTTTAAAAAGACTAAGGCTCACTCTCTGGCACATACACAAAAGAAATGAAAACATGTGTCCATAAAAAGGACTCTTACAGAGAGCTTTATAATTGCTTTATTCGTAATAGCCCCAAACTGGAATGACCCAAATGTCCACAAATAGAAAAATCAAGATAAATTCATGGAACACTTGTTAGCAACAGTAAAATGAACAGATATACACAGCAACAGAAATGAGTTTCAAAAGTATTTTGTTAAGCAAAATAAATCAGACCCAAGATTATAAACTATATAACTCCCTTCCCATGAAGCTCAATAGCCAAAATCAATCCCTGCTGACAGAAATCGACCTGCCTGCAGAGCAGATTACCAGAGGAGATAGGAAAATCTCTTTGAGAGGAGAGTGATGGAATTAGGGTGTGGCCTACAGGGTAAATGCCTTTGTCAAAACCATTGGACTCCACACTTAATATCGTGCCACCCACAGAATTTAATTTTATCTTAATTAAAAACAAAATTAGCTATTGAATAAAAAGAATACTAGCCAAGCTTAAAATATCTTGAAATAAAATGACCTCCCAACAAATGATCGTGTGAAATGGAAGAGTAGAAACAAGGGCAGAATACACTTGTCGTAGGCTTCCCTCTGCATACAGACATAATGCATTTTTTAAGCAAAATCTTGTATGCTTCTAGAAGGCTATGTAAGCAAATGTTGACAGACGTTTGCCTTTGGAGAGACAATGTGGGCGACTGAAGGTCTGAAGTAGGAAAAGCACCAAGACACATTTTTTTTGTCCTGTTGCAATTTCTTATTGCATGCTCATATTAATTAGAGGCCTAGCTTAAAGTCTTGATTGGCTAATAAGGTCTTCTGAGGTTGAATTCCAACCTCTTTCTACTCTCGAGAGCAGGAAGCAGGGGAGCAGCCTGGAGTTCCAAAGTAGGAGGGGCATTTGGTCAGGGAGATCAGGGAAGCCCCTTCTTCCAAGCTCCTAAGCACATGAGTCCTGACTGGCTTGGGACATCATGTGAAATTGAAAGCCTACAAAGATTTTAGCTTGGCATGACACACTTCTGATAGAAGAATGTAAAAATTCCCTCCTGTGATCTGGAAGATTTATCTGTTGAGATGATTTTTAATGTGATGAGAGTGAAACCTAACAAGGTGGAAGAGGAGGTTTTTAAGATGCTGTGGGACTTGGGAGAACAGGAAGAAGGGACCACGCACTAAGATGGAACAGTGTGTGTAGTTCTCACCAGACAATTTAATAGTGGGCCTTTATTTCTACAAACAACAGCAAGCCCACAAGACTTACCAAGAGCATCTTTGTCCATTTCTAGGATGACCCTATGTTGGTGAGTTGATGTTCTACCTGAAATTTAGAGCCAAAGCCTGTCTAGCTCAGGAAAGAGGTGTTAGGAGAAGAGAGTTCACCTGTCCCATGCCCTGCCCTTGGGACCTCCTAATTCTGGGATCAGAGGGCAGGGAGCCCAGAACCTTGATCTTTGGAATGACTGGATCCTTGTGGAATCCTAAGTCTCTGACAAATTCATTAAGGGGGCAATACTAGTCAGAAATCTGTGTTCAGCTAACCATGGGCCGAAATGCCTGGTCTGCTTATTAAGAAAATGGAACTCAATATAAAATATTAGAGACAAATATATTCTGGGGAAAGGACCAAGATGACAAAATTGTGATTCCCTGAGGATGACAGAATAGACTGTGGAGCCCAAGCCTTTGGTGGTCTCAGTGAGCTGCTCGACCACCTTACCTCCATACCTCCATTAAGTAAGCATTAAAGGAACCTGCAGGTGACGCACTGGCTGCTGGGTTTTCTGTTATTTGCGGTTCAAAGTGTTCTGGGTGAGCACAATCCTACAAGTGGGTTAGCCCCAGATGGGAGCAGAGTGATCCTGTGGAACAAGCTCTGAAACTACATGAGGGTACAGACAGGAATGCTGAGGAAGAGCTATAACTGGTACAAGCAAAGAAATGGTTACCCCAGCTCTAGGAAAGTCCCTCAAAGACCGTGGAGCTTGGCCCTTTCACAGTGAAAACTGAGGCCACACTGCCAAGTGACTTCTACCGTATCAGATGCCAGGACCCAGTTGGGTCTATGGCTCACACTGTAGTGCCCCAGGTTCACTGGGCTCCTTATAAGATACCTGGCCCTTCAGAAGTGGAGACATTACTGAAGCTCTTTGACCAACCAGCTACCTACTTTCTTGCTCCTTAGCAACATGTTCCTGCTGAATTTCTTGGAGATGAAACCAGTCAGATGGCCTGGAGAGGTGACATCAGACACTTCAATGGTCTCCAGCAGCAGTTACCTTGTCCCCACCAACACCTTGCCTTTTTTCTTCCTAGAAGCCAGATTTTTTTTTTAAGTGGATGAAAATCTTTTGATTTCAGAAAACAGGCCAATTCCCCACCCTAGGAAGTGAGTCTTACTCTGTTTCATGGTATTTCAATGGAATCCCCAGTCTCTTCTATCAGTGATTGGTCTAAGCATGGGTACATGACTAAGTGCCAACAGAACACAAAGTGGAGTCTCCATGGGCTTCCAAGGAAGGAAGGGTATGTTTTCCCTAATGAAAGATAAAGACGGACTTTGGCACGATCAAGTCCCCTGCCTGCACCCTTTCTTCCTTCTTGGGAGGAACACAGATGTATATGTGACCTGAGACTCCAGCGGGAGGGCAAAAGTGTGATTCCCTGAGGATGGCAGAATAGGCTGTGGAGCCCAAGCCTTTGATGGCCTCAGTGAGCTGCTGGGCCATCCTACTTCCACATCTCCATTGAGTAAACATTAAAGGGCTCTGCAGCTAAGGCATCGTCTGTTGGAGTTTCTGTTATTTGCAGTCCAGAGTGTTCTAGGTGAACACAAGTCATGCATGTTAGTGTGCACCTCCACTCAATTGCAAGAGATGTCACACAGATACAGTGTTAGCTTAGCCTCTTCTGTGGTGGGTCCTACTCTCCAGAAATTTCTTTTCAAAGTTCAACCAGATGGTGTCTACTAGAGTCCTCCACCCACCCCACCAAATCCTTCCCTTCCCTCTGGCCAATCTAGACATCTTCAGTGCCCACTTGGGATGCTCTCAGCTGCCCTGATATTGTCCACTGCATCAAGCATGTGCCCATTCTATAGAGATGAGTAATTGACTTATTAGACACATTCATGGTGATCAGCTCCAGACCCAGCAGCAGTCAAGGACATCAGTCACAGTGGGGCTTTGGAGAGCAGTGAGATGGGTAGGGAACAAAGAGACCATCCACATGATGCTGGGGGATGGGGGAAGTCGCCATTTCTATCACACTCTCTCCAGAAACTGTTGAGTCTTAGGGAAAGGACCAGCTCTGTCTGCTTCAACACTGTCCTGAGTCCATCTTGGAAGAAGCAAAAAAAAAAAAAAAGACCTTATGTTTAGTGATCTTCCCTGGCATGCAGGGCTTTGGAGTGAGCCGGCTCTTAGCCATTCGCCTTTCCCAGTAAGGTCTATAAGGTCAAGGCCTTTCATGGCTAGAGGGTTGGAAGCTAGAGACCTCTCTTTACTGGTACCAGAACTGCTACTAATTGGATGTGGGACTTAGAACTCAGCCCTTGGCTACGCTGAGCCTTGTTTTTCTTCAAGGACAAGTGAGGAGTCTGACATTGCCCATCTCACAGGGTTATTTCAAAGATGGATTAAGATAACTGGTGGATGGGAAGGTCTGGGAAGGCCAGACATTCAGGAGGTAAATAGAGTAATTCTTTATTCATCTAACTCCCCGTTTCCCCTACAAGGCACAAAATCAGAGACCAGTTAGCATACTGGAACTTTCCATAGCTGACAGTATTTGACAAGAGCAAGCCCTCAGCAGTGCGGGCAGGAGTCATCCCTCCCAAGGAACCAGGCACACATTTGGTCTTTGATGGGGATTTCTTGGGTCCCCAAACTGTCTCCTGTCCAGAAAATTGCCATCCATGGACCTTATTTACCTGTCACTGCTTCTTTCCAGAGGAATACAAGCAGGGGCACAGTGTCACTGGGGAACAAGGGAGAGCTTCCTCTTCCATCTCCCTCTCATGTGGGGGGTCTTGTGGGTTCCCGCAGCCACGCTGAAGTCATTCCTTGGATCTCCAGGTGGGTTTGCTCTGTCTGCTCAGGGACCAACAAGCACCACTTATTCTTGGCCATGCTCCATTGCCACTAGGCCTGGTTGCAATGCACAACCCACCAAGGGAAGGCGTTCCAGAGGAGCACAAACTACAGCAGGACAGACACCCTGTGCAGTGGTCTGGCCATTGGAAATGAGCTGCTGAGTCTACTCTGGGTCTCGCTGAGGGAACATCCAGACAGCCCACTAACCCCCAAAGAGACATCACTGCCCATCCTTGGAGTGTGATCCCAGCCATGTGAGGTTGGCAGGAAAAGCATCTTCCAGAAGAGCCAAACCGAGCTCCCTAGGAAAACAGAGAATGTCTTGGGAGGTCCCAGCCAGGGAACTGAGCAGAGCTGGCCCAGACAACAGAGGGATGGTCACTCACTGGAAGACTGATGGAAGGTCACTGGACAGCTGGGAAAGGGGTTCAAATTGTTAGTTAATATGAAATGAGATACAGAGAGGACAGGTCAACCAAGGGTGAGATGTAAGCAGAAGGCAGGGATATGATGTTAACACCTCAAGTTGCTCAGCCTTTGGAGATGGCACCATACAAGGGTCTGAGTCTCTGGGAGGCCCTGACTCCTACTCACACTCCAGCAGTGGGAAGCTGCCCAAGATAAGACATCTTATCCTATCTGGGAAGTCCCCTTCAGAGTGACAGATGATCTGGGGCAGCCAGAAGAGGCACGGGGGCTGGCAAGTTATTTTCTCAGCTCCCAACCTAGGGATCTGGTCCTCATGTGGACATCTTAGGACTAAGTAGGTGAGGACCAGAGTTTAGTATGGGGCCATAAGAATGGCTTTTCAAAGTCAGGTAGTACAGGATCCTGAGTCCTGGTTCCTTTGTTTTCTGCCTACCCCAGAGGAGATGACAAGGTCAAGGAAAACTAGGCCTTATAGCCTCTGAAAGAGGCTCCCTTCACTTCTGAGCCTATCTTCCATTCGCCCATCACTATCTCTGCATCTGAACCCTGGGGAAGGTAGCTAGTTGGCTAGGTCTTCTTGGGGTGTTGGCATTATTGGGTCACATTGGGGTGTGAGCCCCAATGCTTTGTGCAAGGTGTGTCAGAAGGTTCATAGTTCTCAGAAGGGTAGGGGGCATGCATATAGTCTTGTGGCTCTTTCTAAGTCTTAACTGTCGAATTAGCCCAGTCAGGAAAAGTATCCAAGCTAAACATGGATTGTCCCCAGGTGTTGACTGACAGAAACACACAGGAGATGCCAATGACATTCATCATGAGTCCCGCCTTCATCTAGAAAATAAAAACAGAATCAGTCAGCAACCATGGGTCTGCCACATTTCAGAACAAGGGCAGATGGGACACTGGGAGCCAGTCCTCTTGGAGAGATAGAAAACCAGTTGGTTGGGCCTTATGTCCCTGTGATCTGGGCTCCCCTGTCCCCAAATGAAGCAACTCATGTCCATTAACTGTCATTATCACTGAACAATCCCCAGGAAGGACTCAGCACAGATGGGAAAGCAACCTGAGCAAGCAGATGTGAGGCAGCAGCCAACCCTTTGACCCTCCCATAGCTCTACATTCTTTCCTAATGCTCATGAACCATGATTCTAACACCCCAGCATGGACTTTTTGCTGGGGATCAGAATCAAATTTGCAGCATGTGATTTCTGGGATCGAAGTGTTTGGTGGAAATGTTTGTGGAGCCCCAGAGTCACCTGGCAGAGGTTCTGAGACCACTGATGACTAACTGGTCTGAGATAGGACCTTTGTTTCTGGTTTCCCCAATTCACCCTCTCACTTCATCCCCAATCCAGAACTGTAGGGCTGCCCTTCTCCCATCAGCAGTGAGAAAGCCAAATCAGACATGAAAAGCTCTGTGTTTGCTTCCAAGGTGTCACCGACTCCCAGGCAGCAGCCTCCCCATCATGTGTCCACCTCTTCAGATACCTCCAGAGGCTTTCTTGATTGTCTTCAGAAGTCTAATCTGTGTCCCTCCTGACTATCCTCAGGGTTCTTGTCAGTTGTGAATTCTACTGCCATGTGGGGGCCTCATTCTATCCCTTGTGCCCATACAGGTTTCTCCAGGTGGAATATTCTAGCACCCTCCACGGAAACAGAACAGCCTATGAAATGTGGTATCATTTCTATAAAGAAAAAAAAGCTGCACCACATACACAAATGATAAATGCAGGTCTGGATGTTCTGTGGAATTCTTAAATCACACAAAATCCTTTTGTTTTTTTTTGCTGTGCGTGTGCAGGTGCTTGTGCAACTGTGCACACTCATGCTTACATGTGGAGGCCAGAGGTCAATGTTGAGTCTCTTCCTCTATAGCTCTCTGCATTATTATTATTATTATTATTATTATTATTTTATTTTATTATGTTGAGATACGGAAGTTCATGGATGCAGCTGGACTGGCTAGCCAGCAAGTCCCCAAGATTCTCCTCTTTTCATCACCCCAGCCCTGGGCTTACAGGCGTGTACCACCATGCCTGGTTTGTATGTGGGTTCCAAGGGTCCAAACTTGGGTCCCCATGCTTACATAGCAAGCACTTTATCCACTGAGCCACCACCCCATCCCCACGTGATATCCACATATCACCCATAAATGGGACAGTCCTCATACCAATAGCATCAAAACCTGATAGAAGTAAATAAAAAGGGTCATTACCATGTCAGAAACCTTCAGGTGTCCGTAGGCAAACACGATGGCATTAGGCGGGGTGGCGACAGGCAACATGAAGGCAAGGGATGCACTCAGCGTGCATGGGATCATGACGTACAACGGATGGATGCCAATGGAACGAGACTGGGTGGGGGGAACACAACACTGTAGCTCATAGCACAGAAAACACAGAGGTTCCCAAGCCATAATTTAGAAGCTTTCCCTAAGGCCAACGGTACATTCCAACATGCACATAAATCTGGCTAGTCCTTCTGTCTTTTGCTGCATAACTACTGAGCATGGAAGGCTGAGCTCAGAGGACACTTCCCATGGGAGGCCTTTCTGGGCTCTTTCAATTTAGTCTACATAGATTTCTTGGGCACTTGCTATATGCCAGAGCCCAAACTGGGGCAGGAGCCATGAGTCACACGTTCTTACCTGTACATGTTTCCATGGATGTGTTTTTGATAGCTCTCTCTCTTTCTCTTTCTCTCTCCTTTCTTTCTCTCTCTCTCTTTCTCTTTCCCTCTTTCCCTTCCTTTCTTTTTGTCTTTCTTTCTCTTTTTGAGACAGGGTCTCACTACACAGTCCTGGCTGGTCTGGAACTTGCTGAGTAGACCAGGCTGGCCTTGAGTTCACAGAAATACATCTGCCTCTGCCTCCCAAGTGCTGGATGTATGTTTTAATATACATGTGGAATTATTTTGCATTGTAAATCTGGTATTTACCTTTCTCATTCTACATTTTAAAATTCAGCTGCATTTATTAGCACAGAGTTGGCCCTTGCTAGATATTTAATGAATGAACAAATTATATAATTTTACATCAAAAGAAATCTTATCTGGGCATGGTGGCACACACTGTTAATCCCAGCACTTGGGAGGCAGAGACAGGTGGCTCTCTGTGAGATCGAGGCCATCCTGATCTACATAGTGAGTTCCAGGTAGGCTGGGGCTAGGGAGATCCTGTCAAAAAAGAATCTTAATCATGCACATTTACATGTGCAAACACATGTACAGAGATCTCACTGAAATAATGTAACATCAAAACACAGAAAAATGACTCATGCCATGGGCAGCAGGATGGTATACACAAACCATGAAATGGAACATAGCTGTGAAGAACTAGGGCAGGTTTTATGTGCCAATATAGAAAGGTTTCCAAAACTTGTAATGAGATTCAAAAGAAAAAAAAATGAAGGTGCATAACATGTCCATATAGAATCATCCCATGTGTCTGAAAAGAGTCTCTGTGTGTGCGTGTGTGTGTACTATATATAGAAAGAAGCCTAAGAAACTAATAGCAGAAGTTGTTCCTAGGGAAGAGGCTGGAGGATTAGGGTCTGTATAATTCTCTGTATTGTTAGACATTTTTTAGCCGTGTATATATATTGCATCTTCAATTTGAGATAATCATAGGATGAACATGTTCCTGTTTTATTAAATATTCTGCAAAATGATTTTAATGACCTGATAGTATTACATTTTATAAATTAAAAGCATTTATTTTACCCCCTATTATTATGGATATATCTTTATAATGAAAACATCCATCTGCATATCATTATAATATATGCAATAGGCATCTCTGGCTATTTTCCTAATATATAGTCCCAGACATGAAACTGCCATAGTTTCATGTTTAAGGTAGACAGCCCTGTGAAAAGGTTGCACCAAGGTCCACACCCTCTGGAAGCAGTTGAGCGGTCCCAGGCAGGGCCAGGCTGTTCCTTGGCTTCTTCTCCATCATTATTCTCCCTGGTTTGGGGCACCACCTGACGTGTGACCCAGCTGGATGCCCACCACCTTTCACTTTCCACAAATGGGTGCCAAGGAAGGCACATGAGGAGCCTTAAAGGTAGTTCTGGGCAATTTTTCTCAGAATTTTGGTTCTAAAAGAGCTTGTTTTCAAAAGACCCAGTCACCCTCTTTGGTTAAGATCTATGTCTGTTTGCCTGGCTGGGGCTATTGGTGCTCACAGGGCTCACAGGAAGTGGTAAAACCTTTGCCTAGGAGAGGAGCATCCCCGTTATATGCCTAGCACCAAAAGACCCCTGCTCCTCTTCTGCTGCCTCTCCTCCCTTCCTCCTCCTCTCTGTCCTCTTTTTTCTCCTCTCTCCACCCCTCTATTCCTCATTCTCCTCTTTGTTGTCCCCCCACCTCCTCTTCCTGTTCTTCCTCAACTTCTTCCTGGACAACCTGCTTATGGGATGAGGAGACAGCCAGCCACCTTGCTATTTTTAACACTTTCATCTTCCTTAAGAATGGAAGGAAAAACCACCCAGGTTTGCTTTCTTTGCACTGAACGCCCAGACTACACAGATGGAAATTTATCAGCTTCAGGTCCTTTGTAAGTCAGTCTCCCAGCTCAGAATAGCCACAGCCTTTTCCCCTGCTCCTCTCCAGGGCAGGCTGTGGAGGATCCCTTGTGGAGACTCTCTGTGCCCTCATCTGTTTTAGGGACCCTCAGCAAACCTCTGTATGAGGAGAGCTTAGGTCTTCTGACTCCAAGCCCAGGCTCTCCTGAACCCCCTGAGGTTGGTACTACCTTTGGTGAAGACAAGGGACCATAACAGGCAACAGCCAATTTTCCTACAGAGTCTGCTTTCTCCTTAATTCCAGATCACAACTGAGCTTGCCATAGAATGAAATGCTGGAGCATCACTCAGCAGCTCTTCCTGCACCAACTACTTACTCTCTGGCTCAGATCCCAGTGAGCCCTGCCTCTCCCCTGGGCTCCTGAGAGTTTTCACGTATGGCTACTGCCCATCTTCCCAGAAAGCCCTGTCCAATTCTCCTATTCCCAAGCCCCACATCCCCCAAGCTTCTTTCTGGAGTCTCTGTCAGTGATCTGTATCCTCTCTACCCAGTTTGAAAAAGAATCCAATTAGATACACCAATACAATAGTGTGTGTGTGTGTGTGTGTGTGTGTGTGTGTGTGTGTTTGTATTATTTGGAATGGAACCCAGGGCCTTGTACATGCCATGAAAGTATCCTACCACTGTGTTATAGCTCCAGTCCTCTTTTTACTTTTAAATGTTGAGACAGCGTCTTCACTAAGTTGCCCTCGCTAACCTTGAACTCACTCTGTAGCTCAGTCTGGCCTTAAACCTGCAGCAATCCTGCCTTAGTATCCTGCACCATCCGGCCCACTGATGCAATAAAGTTTGAGCACCTGGTCCATGTTTTGTGCTTTAGTCAATGATGGGGACACAAAGAAGAGGTGGCAAAGCAGTGAGGGAGGGCTTCAAGACCAGGGTCAAATAAGGTGTACATGTCCACATCAGAGTTGGGGCCAGATCTGGGTCTTCAAGCCTGGCCAGGCTCTGGATCCTGACTTTACTGCCTCTCTAGAGAACTAGGGAGACCATCATAGGTTCACAGCTCCCCACAAAATGTTCCTCCTTTTCCTAGTCGAGTTACTTACCATGGAGGCAAAGATGGGCAAGAACAGGGTGGTGGTGGCCACGTTACTTGTGCACTCAGTGGCCGCAGCAACAAGACAGGTCAAGATCAAGGAGATGGCAGCCGGGCTCACTGAGCTCAAGGGTTCCATTTGCTTCGCCATCCACTCAGAGAGCCCTGAGGTCTGGGAAGCACAGGAGACCATCATTTCAGGGCTTCTAGCTTACAGCTCCTCCAGGACTGGAGGAGCTCAGCCCACCCTGGCTTCCAAATCTTTCTTTTTTGTGCACATTCCATACGTGATCCTATCCATCCAAACAAATTTTCATTCTTATCCCCACTCTTCTGGCTCCTAAAGCTTATGGCTCAGCAGATTATTATCTAGATTTAAATATCATATGTCATCTGGAAATTCCACCCAGATGTCCCATGAGCACAACAGGATCAACATGTTCCAATCTGAATTCCTCCTCTTCAGCCATGACTCTGGGATCCCCAGTGTGAACGGCCTCACCCTCCCCTCCTGCTGGGAATAACACTGGCGGGGCTCTGTCCCACTCATTCCTGATACCCATCCAGTCAAAAGTCACCCCAGTTGTCTTTCATCCATCTTCTCCCCTTAGACCCCAATATTTTTTGAAGTTCAGGAGAAATATTTAGCCTTGAGGACTTAGCCTTGGAGCTAGAGATAGGATGATTAGAAGTTGTCCAGGGAAGAAAAAGTGGACAGATAAGAGGCCAAGGGCAGAGCGGTGTATAATGGAAAACAAAAGAAGGCCCAGGAAAAAAAGGCCAAGCAGGGATAATGGAACAACGAAGGCAGGATAAAGAGGTATCTTGAGGCCAAAATGGTAGGGAAGGTGTCAAGGAGAAATGGCCAAGTTCAGAGATGGAGTGGATGAAGACTACAGGACACCCACTAGTTCTTATCTAGCCCTGCCAGCTGCAGGCTCCACTCTAAACATCAGGATGGCTGCTCTCAAGTGCACATCTGACCAAGTCACTCCCTGGCTTCCACCATCTGGCTGTTCCCCTCTGTCTTCAGAATTAAAGCCACACCTGCTATCCTGAATCCAGACCCTCAGCGAGATGGCTTCTACTGGCCTTTCCAACCTCCCTGCTTCAGCCAAGTGCCTCCTGCTTTCCCTTGCTCATGTGTCACTTCTTTCCAAAAGACTCACACAGACATGTCTCTGTCCCCACACTGCAAAGTCCTCAAAATCAGACTATAACCTCTGTGCCTGGCCTAACATAGGGACATACTAAGAATGAGTAAAAAAAATAATAGATGGAGAGATGAATTAGTGAACAGATGAATGATGGAGAGGTGATTAGATGTATATATTTGTTCATCTGGAAAAATATATATTAGGCCAGGGATACAGTTCAATGGCAGAGTGCTTCATGTGTATAAGGCTCTGGTCTTGATCCCCAGCACTAAAGAAATAGTATGCATGTATCCACTATGTACCAGGCTCTGTCCTAGATGCAGAGTAAACAATAAACACAGTATAGAACAAGTATATCTATTACCTTCCATTCCTGGATGGATGAGTTGGATGCATGGGTAGAATGGATGGACAAGAAAGAAGGAAGAGGATGGAAGGGGAGAAGGAAGAAGCAATGGAAGAAGGAGGGAAGGGAGGAAGGAAGGGATGGAGGAAGGGAGGGAGGAGGAAGACGAGAAAGAAGGAAAGAAGATGGGAGAAAAGTTGGATGAGTGGGATGGAATGGACAGAAAGGAGGAAGGGAAAGAATGGGGAGGAAAGGAAGAATGGGGATGGAGTGGACAGATGGAGGACAGCAGGAGCAAGCTAGCTCATCCTACCCCAGAGCTAACGAAAGCTACATTTTCCCATAAAAGCTGCTCTTCTCCTGTGCTGCTATATACTTAGCTAGAGAAAACCACATCAACAAGGCATTCAGCAAGTAAAGGAACCAGAGGACATGGTGAAAATACTCATGAGGACGCAAAAGAAAGACTGCCCTAGGATTCATCAAAGCAGAGTCATCACCAGATCTCAAAGAGGGCTGCAGCATCCTATTCAGGCCACTCATCCACTCATCCCTGATTTCCCACTTCAGGATACTGTCCGTCACAAGAGAGTCCTGTCCTCAAACAGTATACAGTTCTATGGTGGAGACATACAGCCCAGAGATGGAAGAGGGGCTGGCTATGGTGACATTTGCCACCTCTTGGCAGAATCCGAGAGTCACCCACAGCTGGAAACTTTACCTCGCATCCTTTTGCCACAGCAAATCCACCCCCCAGGAGTATCACGACACCCCAAGGCACTTTTTCCTGGGTGACCTTCCAATTCAGAAGTGCTGGGGGATAGAACGGAGCTTTCCATTCTGTAAAGAAAAAGCATACACGTGCACACGAGTGCATGCACAACATTAAGAGAGACATGATCAGGGGAAATAAGGCCAATAAAGAAAATAAGATACTAGTCCATACCTGTGTATTAGCTAAAATTTACAATAATTACTGTGTGTATTGCTGTGGATGATTTGGTTATCTGCTCAGCTGACGGCACTGTAAATCAGAACCATCTTTTTGAAAAATAACTTGATCGTACATTTAAAATATTTTTTATGTGTATGAGTGTATTGTCTGCATGCATTTAAGTGCAACTGTGTCATGTAATGCCCACGTAGGTCAGAAGATGGTGTTGGATCCCCTGGAAGTGGAGTTACAGACAGTTGTTAGCTGCCATGTGATTGCTAGAATCGATCCTGTGTCCTCTGCAAGAGCAGCCAGTGCTCTTAACTACTGAGCTATCTCTCCAGCCTCTGGTCATACGTTTAAAAAACTACTGAGACATTTTGAGGCATCCCTATTCCTCCACCATGGCAACAACACTGCTAAAGCAGAAACACTTTCAAAGTAAAAACTGTTAAAAAGTAATTTAGAGAACAAATGGCACCAAAGGCTGGCATAGATGCAGGGAAAGGGGAAGCCTCTTCCACTGTTAGTGAGATTGCAAACTGGTACAACAACCACTATGGAAATCAGTATGGAGAACTCTTTAAAAACTAAAAATAAATCTACCATATGATCCAGTCATATCACTCCTTGGCATATACCCAATGGACTCATCCTACTGTAGACATCCATTTTTGTTGCTGTTCTTTTCACAGTAGCTAAGAAATAGAAACAACCTAAATGTCTCTCAACTGACAAATGAATAATGAAAATGTGGTCCATTTACACAATGGAGTTCTACTCAGTGGTAAAAAAAAAAAAAGCGAAATCATGAAATGTGCAGGTGAATGGATTGAACTAGAAACTGTTATACTAAGTAGCACAGACTCAGAAAAATAAGTGACCTGTGTTCTCTTTCATTGTGGATCTTAGCTCCAAAGTCTTAGATGTGAGTGTATATCTTGATGTAACCACAGGAGCCAAGAAAATGGAAAGGTAAAATGGGACAAAGGAGCTTGAGAAATGGATAATAGGAGACGGGTGTTATCAAGAGGAAAATGGGGGTATTTTAACTGGGGAGGGAGTAGGGAAGGTTATACGGGGGATGAGAGGAGAGAGAAATAATGCTTAGGTGGTATAAAAAAACAGAGGGAAAAGTATTAGTTCAAAGCACTATTGAAAAATACACATACAATAAATATACGAGTGCATGTGTATACCTGAAGGCTACATAACAAAAAACAAGTGCCAGGTAGAGGAAACCTCCCCTCAAGCTATTGGTAGTCCAAGAGACTCTCAAAATAACACAGGCTATTGTCACAGTCCTTGACTGCCTCCCAGAACTTGAAGGCTAAGACCCTACTGCTGAAAACAAGACATACTTCAGACACAGAACTTGGAGAAATGGAGCTGGAACTGACCAAGAAATCTCCTTCCTGAAGACTACTCCCATGGTATCAGACTATAATATAAAAACTATCAAGGGAGAAAATCAATCAATGGTCCTACCCAGCTAGCTATAAAGCCTGAAAAACAGCAATGATTGGCCCAGCAAACTATCCCTGTTGGTACAATAGTGGTACTTTTATCTTGGGGGTAATCAACAGCTATCTAATTGGAATTAAGGCCCACTCAATGGGAGGGAATTCATGTGTGGTACTATGAATATAGCGAAATACATATGGCTGGAGAGATCATAGAGCCTAGAGAAAAACCCATTTTGTCAAATCCTTAGACAAATGCAATTTCTTACTTCATTCTAAATATGCATCCTCATATTTACAGACAAGTGTACCTTTCATCAAAGAAGCTTCTTTTTATGACAGATGGAGACTATTACGAGTCCCAGAACTGGTCAAATGAGGAGAATAAGTGTCTGTGAGACCGCTTGACCCTAAATGACACATCTTCAATGTAACCTCTACACATAGGATTAATGCATCTCTCAACTCTCACCAGAGAAGTTCCTTTATGCAGCAGGTAGTCATTAACACAGAAACCCACAATTGGCCAATGTGCAGAGGACAAGAGGCCGCAGGGTACTTATCCCTGAATAGGACAGCTATTTCAATCCTCTGCCTCCCGAGGCTCAGGGATCATTGTGGAATAGGAGGCAGAAATATTATAAGAGTCAGAGGGGGTGGATGACCACAAGGACAGCTAGACAGCTAGAAAGTTACTCATATGAACTCACATCAATGGTGACAGCATGCACAAGTCCTATGCAAGCTCAAACTAGACAGAATTCTAGAATGGACATGGGGAAGTGGGTAAGAAATCCCAACCCAACTTAAGGAACTTTTGGCAATTGATGGCTGCTGGGAGGGGGAGAGAGCGTGTCTTATAGGGATGGGGCTTTTGGTGTGCCCAGTAGATGGACACACACTGAAGGACATCTGGGGACACAAATCAGATTCTATAGGCCTTATTATATATATAAGAGAGTACTCTGTATTGGGCAGGGAATGGGCAGTAGGTGGAGGTACAGACAAGGAAGGGAGTGGATCTAAATAACATTAAAGTATATTGTATGAAAATCACAAAAATTCAATAAAAATAAAATTTAAAAACACACAAAAATTCCCAAAATTAAAAAAGTAATTTATAGTTATGAAAAATTCAGAGTGGACCAGATGGTTCAGCAGGTAAAGGCATTTACCACCAAGCCTAATGGCCTGAGTTCAATCGCTAGGACCCACACTATGGAAGGAGAGAACTAACTCCTGAGAGTTTTCCTCTGACCTCCATACATGTACCATGGCACATATACATGTGCACATACACACAAACACACAAATAAATAAATGTAATTTAAAAGCTTTTTTGTTGTTGTTGTTTTTTGAGACAGAGTTTCGCTGTAGCCACAGCTGGCCTGGAAATCACTATGTGAGGGATCAGGAACATGGCCACTTTGGGAGAGGGGTAGTGACTTGAAGGGGCTGTTATGGGACTTTGGGGTTGCTGACAGTGTTCGTGAATTGAACCCAAATTTGTGTTCTTCCCTCCCTCCCTCCCTCCCTCCTCTCCTTTTCTTTCTTGTTATTTGAGACAGGGTCTTCTTTCAACAACCCCAGACTGCAGCCCCAGCTGGCCTGGAACTCACTATGTAGATCAGGCTGGCCTCGAACTCGCAGAGATCCACCTGCCTCTGCCTCCCGAATGCTGGGATTAAAGGCATGTGCCACCACACCCGGCTCTAGCCTGCTTTCTGTTTCTTGTTCTACTGTTATGAATGTAGCTCACTGGGTAGAACACCAGTCTGGCATGCTTAGAGGCATGCTTAGAGGTTCGATTCACAGCATCTCCTAAAATGGGGTGGTGGAGGTACACAGGCTTGTAATATATATCAATCCCAGCCATTGCAAAGTGGAAGTAGGTAGATCAGGACTTCTAGCTCATCCTTTACCTTAGCCACTTTCAGACCTGTCCCAAAACAGGAAAGGAGATGGAGAGATGGCTTAGCACTTAAGAGTAATTGCCACCCTTGCAGGGTAACCTGAATTTGCTTCGTAGCACCCATGTGTTAGTTCACAACTCCAGTTCTTCCTCAAGTTTCAGCACCCTCTTCTGACTTCCATGGGCACTGCACATATGTATGCAGGTAAAACACTCATGCACAGAATAAAGGTAAATAAAATCTTTAAACGTAGAAAGCAGGCTTAAGCCAAGTGTGGTGGCACATGCCTTTAATCCCAGCATTTGGGAGGCAGAGGCAGGTGGATCTCTGTGAGCTTGAGGCCAGCCTGGTCTACATATCAACTTCCAGGTCAGCTGGGACTATAAGACATTTGATCTCAAAAACACCCACAAAAAAATTTAAAGGAAAAATTTAAATAGCCAAAAATTTCCATAGTAGAATGGTTATGGCTCCTGAATGTGATAGAATGCTGTTAGAGAAAGTATTAATGGATATAGTATGGTAGGAAATGTGAAATCCCAAGTCATGTTTCTAAAAAAGCCACAAAGCAGCAAAGAAATAGGATTCAAGCTGTGTGTACTTGGCTGATAACTTTCTAATATATACGCATATTACAAAGACAGAAAGGGAGAAAAAATGTTGATGCCATTATGGGAAATTTGAAACACTTCTTGTCTCTGTTGTGATTTATAAATAAGATTTCAAATGTTTAAAGAGGAAAAGAGAAGAGACTTTGCTCCAGACCCTGGAAGCTTAAAAATCCATCCCCCTAAGCTTTGTAATGTCTTGTCCTGTTCAGTAGAACGAGATTCTCTGTCCCCTAGACCCAGTGACCATCCCATGGGGATCCCTTGCTCTCAGGACCCCAATGGTATTGGCTGGAATTCCACGACAGAAGCCTTACCTTCCTCGGTCTGGTTGCGGAAGTTGAACTTGGGCTTCTGTGAAGGTACAATGAAAAGCAAGATGGCCACAAACACGGCCACCGTGGCATCAGTGGCGTATCTATGCAGGGACAAGCACATGGGAACTTAGTGATAGTAAATCAACAAACTTGTCCTACCTTCCCACATGCTCTATCAGGAAGAAACAGGTTCTGTTAGGTATGAAAAGTAGAGGCCTCAAAGCCAAGATCAAGATGAGGTGGGAGACTGAGTCCCGGTTATAATTAAAGACCCTGACATTCTTGGCCATCAACTTTGAGTGACTCCCAGCAGCAGCCCATTTCTCCCTGTATTGTTCCATGGGTGAGCTTGGTGATTTCTTCAGGTTCTTTAGAATTCTGGACTCACTGGACACCCAAGGATTCTGATGCTAAGCCACGTAGACCAAAATGGAGTAGCTGGTTACAGGCAGCTACCTCCCCAACCCACATCTCCTGCCTTTTCTAGGACAGACAAGTTCCTCAACCTTTCTTCCATGGTGACTGCATCAGAGCCAGGAGAGAAACCACATATTACCCCCCCCACACACACACACACACATACATACACCCCAACAACCAAGTTTCTAAGAACTGTGATGCATCTTGGATGGGTTCTGAAGAAAGATAAGAAAGGAAGATGGCAGAGTCCAGAGCTCTAAGGGACCCACACTCAGCCCAATAAACTGTACCAGGGCTCTGGCCACCCTGTTCACTGGGCATTTTCAGCAGAAGACAAGAGAGCTGCCAAAACAAATAGCACCTGCTATTTCATCATGGAGACTGACAGGAAACAAATGAGCCCTGAAGGTCATGGAGCATTCTCTAAGCCTAGCTGCAGAGCACAGGGCCCAGCTTACACCCTCCTCTCTGGCCTGTTGCTGAGAACAGTGTTGTTTAGACACATTGTCCAAAGACAAGGCTTTCTTCCATACAATCAACTTACTTGGTCTTTCCTTCAATCCAGGCGATGGACATCCAGCCAGGCATGAAGCCGGGGTCGCGGGAAAACCACAGGAAGATGAGCAGGAGGAAGCAGATGAGCACGCTGTATTCAGCAAAGGTCATGGGCCCCAGCTTCCTGTGTTCCTCTAGCAGCACTTGGTTGGCAATTTCTTTGTTCTTCTTCTTCAACCCAGGGGAGGTGTGAGATTTTTTGGAACTAAACCATGCAAGGATAAGAAAATGGCAAGGCAGATGGAATGGCTCAGGGGCTGTTCGGAGAGAGTCCCAAGACTGCATGGCAGAACATGGCAGCCAGACACCAGCTGTGTCTTGACTTCCTCGGATCTGCATGGGTCCCTTCTTCCCTCTTTCCTCCTCTGACTTTCATATGCTTCCCCTTGAGAGGTAGTAGCTGAGGGTCCAGAGCATGCCCCAGGAATACCTCCAGAGCTGGGGGTAAAGGGATATAAGGAAGATGGTGGTCTCAGCCAGGTCATAGGACCAGCAGAAGATGGGAAGGAGAGTGTTAGAAGACTGAGAGACAGTAGAACAAAGTGGGTGTGAGGATAGAACATAGGAAACAGAGCTGAAGTAGCCACTACTAAAGGAGACCTGGTGGGTGCCTAGTTGCCCAAAGACTGGTTGCTCCAGAGTCCTCAGGGAAAAGGCTATGAGAAGTTCTGGGGCTCTCTCACATGATCCCTAAGCATTCCTCTTTCTACTACAGCCTGGAGCTGTCTTCCAAGGTACTGGGATCCAGCTCTTATCATCGAGTGGCTCAAGAAGGCACAGGGAGTAAGGAGGGGGTCCCAGCAGGATGGGCCAGGCAGGAGTCAGGGTCTTGCATTCCCAGGATCTTGGATATGTGAAGGATGAAGGACCCAGGTCACCTGAGGTGGGCAGCAGTTATGGCAGGGCAAGAGGGAAACCATCCTGGGCCTTGTTTTTGGATGGTCACTTCAGGGTAGCCCATTGGATGGGCCTGCCAGGGTGGCCTGCAGGACTTCCCTGGAGTGATATTGGGTTGAAGTGGCAGGAAGTGATTTATGGAGGAGGGCAACTGGGCTGTAGGGAGTGGGTAACTGAGGCTACTAGTGCATAAAGTGCAGGCCCCAAGTTCTTCTCAGAGTGTGTGTCACACGTTCCTGTCTCTGTTGACCTCAAGCAGTTGGAGGAAGGCCAAGAGCATTGTCCCTGGAGAGTTCTCCCTTCTAGGGCCCAAGACAAAATTCACACCAGGGCTAGAGCTAATGGAAAGGGATGGATTCCCAAAGCCATGCTAGATGTGAACTGCCTTTGAAGGTAAGTTGGCCAGTGCCAGTCCTAGCAGCTTGGCTGCCTCAAAGGGACTCCAGGATATCAGAACTTGGTCTTGGGGTACTTGAAGGTCAGAGAAGGAGGCAGAAGTGATGGAATCTCAGGTCTGCAGAGCAAGAGCCTCAGGCATAGGGGTGGCTCTGGAGTCGTGAGTGGGGCCCTCTCTGCTGTCACTGGCTCCAGAGTCCATGTGCTTCCAAGTTTCCATCATTCTAGAGACTTCAGGGCTGTGTTGGGGACTCCCGGTTTCCAGGATAAGGTGTGGCCTTAGTATTTCTAGTATGGAACAGGCAACAAGCAGCGCCAACCTGTCTTGATGTTGGTGACAAGACCCTGATACTGCAGTGGGATTCTGGGGTTCCATTGAGTAGACAGTCATCCGAGGCTGGTCTCCCATGGTGACACCAAGCCTCCAGACCCTTGTTCCAGTTTCACGATTGCCTCTGAGCTCATTTCATCTGGTGGCCGCTGGGCTGGCATCAGACAGGCAAGTGGATCCAGTTGGTCTGTGAGAACCGTGGAGTAGGAGCAGGGACCACAGTCCTTCTGCAGTAGAATGGTGCATCGCAGTAAACTGAATATGCTGCAGAGCCATAGAGAATGAGTCCCCACTTGTCTCCGCTGTCACACGAGTCAGGAAGAACTTTCGAGAAGAGCACTCATCCTCCTTTCAGGTGAGGCTGCTTGGGGCATCTATAGGCAAGCCAGCTGTAACATGCCACATCATTTTTGGTGGTCCTAGGTGAAGGTTTGTGGACCCCTGGTTGAATGTAGCCTGGGAAACTGTCCGTGCATTCAGCAAGACAGTTCTTCTGTATTCAGCCATAGGCCAAGACCCTCACATTGCTCTCCATCTCCAGATGAGAAACATGAGAAAGACCAAGGTACAACAAACAGTAGAAGTACTTCCTGAGGCTGACACACGTGACTCCTGGCTTCATGAGACCTGGTCCGGAAGGCTATGGATGTAGGGGGAGAGTACCAGTTTCCGATATGTGACCCAGGACCAAGGACTCTTTCTGTGGTTTCAGCTGAGTGTGAAGACTTGTATTCTACCTTGCAGATCTGGAACTAGGCTACACATGATGGAACCCAGAGCCCTATACATGCTAAGGAAATGTTCTACCTCTGAGCCACACCATCAGCCCTTGGAGGTTTTTGTTTATTACATTTTTTTGTTTGTGTACGTGTGCGCATGTATGTGTGCACATGCCATAATACACATGTGGAGGTCAGGGAGCAACTTAAGGATATCTGTTCTCTCCTTCCACCATGTGGGTCCCAGGGATTGAACTCTGGTCATCAGGCTTGTTGGCAAGCACCTTTACCCACTGATCCATCTCACCCTTACTGGCCCTGTATTTTTGTTTTGGAGACAAGGTCTAACTATGTGGCCCAGGCTAGTCTAGAACTTGAGATCTTCCTAACTCAACGTCCTGAATGCTGGGATTACAAGTGTCCACCAACATATTCTGTACTCGCTGTTACTTCTAAAGCCTCATAAGGTGCTACAGATGTCAGCCTGCAGCAGGCTCAAGGGACCATCTGCTGATCCGCTGCTCATGAACAGCAGGACTTCAGTCCTGGTGCAGAGAAGTGGAGTGGAGGGAGCTGCTGTCAATGCTGAACTATGCAGCTGAGCCCCTAGGAAGCCACTTCCTTCTTGGGGAGGGTAGAGTCTAGATTCAGGGAAGGTAGGTATTGGGGAGCACTGTCTGTTGTTAGTAAGCTCTGCTGTGATTGCTTCAAATGGGTATAACAATTCTGTGATGTGATTTATAAAAGCAATTCCTCCTTAAGAGGAAAATGGGTTATTAAAAATGGCCACATTCTCCCCCATGAAATCATAGGGTTCTGGGGCTTGAGAGATGGCTCAGCAGTTAAGAGCACTGACTGCTCTTGTAGAGGATCCAAGTTTGGTTCCCAGCACCCACATGCGGCTAACAGCCATCTGTAACTCTGGTTCCAGGGGATCCAATGCCCTCTTCTGGCCTTCACAGGCATTGCACCACATGGGTGTGCTTACATACATGCAGGCAAAACACTCAGACATAAAATAGAAATAAATTTTTAAAAGAGAAATCATACGGCTTCCAGGCCCTTTTCCCTCTCCACTTTGAGTCTCCTCCCTGTGGTTGAAGATACCCATCTTTTGCTGGGCTGAAGCTCCCTGGGAAGAGAGGCACAGTGCCAACGCCCTTGGCTCCTAGCTAAAGGTCTTCCATCCGGTGTGGGATAGTCACCACTGTGTTACAGATAAATTTATGGCTTTTAAAATAACAATAGACTTTAAAAAGAAAAGGTATTTCTCTGCCCCACATCATGGTTTCTATCCAAAGTCTGGTTGCTGTCAAGGGTGAAGCTGGGTGAAACTGACAGTATGCTGGGAATAGGAAGGCAAATGTTCTAGGCTGGCACATTGCTGGGAATGCCACAGGCACTCAGTGAAGGTCTGGGCTGAGACTGACCCAGATGGATTAGGAGGGCCACTGTGACCTGGCCTTCTGAACCCAGGAGACCAAGAGGAAGTTTGTCTAGCACTGTTGGCTTGGCATGTGGTGACAAGTTTTTCTTCAATTGCCTTAACCCACATTGATGGCACACCTGCTCTTTCTCCCTGAGCCAAAAGCCATGCAGAGCAGGTGAGGGGAGTGGGGAGTGTCAGAGGGGCCCTAAAAGAGTTCACAGACAAGGGGAAGGGGTAGCACTGGAGCATGAAGACAAGTGTTAAGGGATGGGGCTATGATTCACTTAGGGCAGCTCAGAGGAACAAGTCATTCTGAGGCAGAGGAGAGGGAAGGTTGGAGAAAGGGCAAACCTTGAGCTACCCTTTAGTGCTGAGGAGGTAAGCAGGTTGAAAGGTAAGAAATCTCCTGTCGGGCAGAAGGAATAACACATGCAAAAATACTGTGATCCTCCCAGGGTAATGGGAGAGCAGGCTAGCAGATCAGACTAGAGAAACAGGACCCGGCAGAAGAACTTTGTGGGGTGGTCCAAAAATAAGGGTTTTGTGCAGGCGGGCAGTGCAATCAGATGCTGGCCTGTAAGCAACTCGCACTTACTTGGGTCTCAAGTAAAAGCCCTGAAGCCACGCCCAGGAGAGCACCAGCATGATCACCATGTTGGGGAAGGCAAATGCAAACCAGGAGGCAAAGTTCACGATGTCTTTATTGTCAGGAAACAATCTGAAAGGAGAAACACCAGCCTGTACCTCCACTCCCATGCTGAGCTGTGGGGAACAGGCTGGGGAATAGCTAGTAGCCCTCCTTGAGAGGTGGGCTTGACCACAGGCCGCATAAGCCTGAGGCTCAGGTATGAGAGTTCATCATTGAACATGACTCCTCTAATAAGTAGAGACTCTCAGGACATGGTCCCAGTGAAAAACAAGACTGAGGAAGGGTCAGTGACTCTTCTGAGGGTACAGACCCTACTGAGACTCTCATAGAAGTATGGCCCAGGCCTCTAGAAAAGTACACCTTTGCAGACACATGCATGTGATCTGTGTGACATATGACTGACACTTTGAGGGGGCACATGAATTTCTCCAAAACCCCACACTTTGAGTTTCTGCAAGGGAAGGCCCCTGCAGGAAAGCAAATCTCAAAAATTTCCCAGTGTGGGACTGGAAGATGCTCCTTAGGCCCTGTCTCCCTACCCAGGCCCGGCCTTTCCCAAGACTCTTCTAGCCCGGGAGCTTCCCGGTTTAGTTCAAAGATAACAAATCCCACCCAGAGCTTTCCTCACTCAGCCCAGACAAACCAATTTTTGTGGTGGAAATTAAAGGAGAACTCTAAAGTTATCATTACAGGAAACACTTCCAGGATCAAAAGAGCCTGGTTGTTGACCCTCAGGTTTCTGCCCTGCCAGACTGTAAGCCTGTCCTTTAACCCCTCCCAGCTCCAGTGCCAGCTACCCTTCTCACCGTTGTCCAGAGCTCTTGTCTGCCCAAAGCAGGCATCACCTTATTTTTATTCCTTACTACTGCAATTTGTACATACTTCGATGAACACATTTACTTACCAGACTGCCTGAAGCGCTGCACATCTGGCACCCTTAGCAGACCATGAAAACCCGAATGGCAGGGTTTTCCTTCACAGCTTGCATCCTTTGCAGTCAAAGCTGGACAATTCTAAACCACCCTCGACATATGCCTTAGCCCTTATGGGACTAAATAACTTCAGGGGTTAAGGGACTGAGATAGCAAGTCAATGGGTGGCCCAACCCCAGCTCTCTACACTATCTGTAGACCCCGAAGTTAATAGGGCCCTGGTCATTAAAAGCCAATGTTAATGTGCTAGGACAGTCCCCCCCCCCTCTCTGAGTTTCTATGTGTATCATTTGTTGAGCAGTAAGGACTCTTATCTGCTAAGCCATCATTCCAGCCCTGGGGCAGGGGGCACAGGGACTCTTTTGTGGATCCCTGTTTTCTGTAAACTCGATCCAGGCATTGGTGACTGCCCTGCCATCTCCCATGACTTTAGCTCAGAGTGCCTGTCTGAGCTAGAAACACTGAGCCTGTGGAAAGTAGGTGAATTTTCCCTAGAACAGAAAGCGGCCTTGCCCATGAGCTCTAAAATATTAGGTCCTCAACCCCTGAGAGCACCTGAGAGTGTGTGCAGGGCTGCCGAGACACAGAGGTTGCATGGAGTTCCTCCTCCCACTCTGCCAGGCTGCTAGCTCCAGGGCCCAAGCAGGGAAAAGAGAGAGTTGAGTAGGCCTCTCCAGCACCAGAGCCCACTCTGGTGTCCCCCAAAGACATAGTCATGACTCACTCTTGCATCTGGCCGAGGAGCACCACATTGGGTCCTGTCCCCGTCACAGTAGCCGTACCCCCAATGCTGGCTGCATAGCACACACACAGGTTCATAGCTTTGTAGATGTTCTTTGTGTTCTCATCCTCTTCCTCCTGCTTCTGGTCAGTGGTGTCTTCAAGTACCACTTGGTTTCCTAAGGTGGGCACAGGGCTGTTAGTAATATCAGTTGTTAGAGCCACCAGCCAATCATAGCTCTTGACTCTGGGACTAACACGAGGTCAAGAGCACTCCTCAGCTCCAGCTCCAAATCATAATCAAGTCCAATCTGCCTTCCCACAGTCCATTCCCATAGCTTCCCTAGGGTACTTCTATGTTCCTGCCAAGTCGAGCAACTTGAGACACATGGCCTCTTTCCTGGCTCCTTGCCATTGCTCAGATTGGTCCCTGCATCTGAGGGTGCCTCAGTGCATCTCGGATTATCTCTCCTAGTGAGACCCCTCCCTCTCTGAGCTGCCTTGCCATCTGGCCTGCCTATGACTTCCCCTGAAACAGTGGGAAAGAGGGCCCACTTATTGCCATCCCACTGGACTCCATAAGAGTCAGTGGTCACAGTGTGCCTCATCACCTCTGTGTTGCTGGAACCTCACTTAGGGCCTGGAAATCGGGCAGCAGCCACACTCCCTGAGTTCTCCGATGCAGGGTTGCTGTGAAGCAATTTCCTCTGAAGTAACATATTCTATCCTGAGGGAAGCTCCTTAAGATGCAGAATATTAAAAGGATGTTAAAACAGGATGTTCTAAATTGAGGTGAAACATTCCATCCTGTAGGGAAACAACTCAGTAGTTTCAGGAAGTCCCTGAAGTTGACCAGATTCCCTAGGTGCCTTTCTCCCCAGGCATATATAAGCCCGAAGGACTTTTGATAGATACTCTCAGATCAGCCAAGCTGCCTGGAAAAGGCAGAGACCAACTGAGCTACCTGAAAGAGACACTCTGAAACCTGTTGAGCTGCCTGCAAGCTACAGAACACGCTCCAGGTTTCTAGCTTTCATGAGCGGTCACCCACGCTGGGCTTTTAGTGATGTAGCTATCTGTGGGTCATTCCTGCTCTTGTAAAGACCCCCTTACCCATACTCCTGTAAGTAACGCTAATAAAACTCATTGGTTTGCCAAGTTGGACTTTGGTGGTAGCATTACTTTGGTCCATCATTAGTTCCCTATCTGGAGTGGCTAGATGTTTGATCATGTCTCCCTAGGAATAGTGTCACACAACAAGGGTCTTAGGGATGAATAGGGACTGGGTAGAGGGTGAAGCAGATCCTATCCTTCATCCTCTGATCCCTGATCTGAGCAGTAAGCAAACCCTGAGACCTATGGACATGGAGCAGAGAGGTGACCAACTCAATGAGGGTCAGCAATGCAGTCCTGAGGAAAGTACGAGTAGCCAGGGAGAGGGGCACCAGGAGGTGTCCACTGAGGCCTAGACAAGTTAGCAAATGAACACTTGATTTTTGATTGACAGGAACCAAGGTGGGACTAGTATAAGCTCTGACTAAAGATACTATCTTTTCTGAAATAACCACATCCGTAATACTCAAAACAAGAAGTGTTCTTTCTCTGTGTGTCTCTGTCTCTCTTTCCCCATGTTTTTTTTTAATATGTCATTTATTATTTTTATTTTATGTGTGTGAATGTATTGCCTGCATGTATGTAAGTGCACCTGTGTCATGCAATGCCGGTAGAGGTCAGAAGAAGACATCAGATCTCCTAGAACTAGAATTACAGACTGTCATTAGGTGCCATATGGATGCTAGGAATTGAACCCAGGTCCTCTGCAAGAGCAGTCAATGCTCTTAACTGCTAAACCATCTCTCCAGTCCCTCTCCCCACATGTTTAAGGAATATGTTGTGAAGAGACAGGGAAGGAAGAGGTGGCCATAGCATTTGGCAATAGATGAAAAGGTCCTGGCTGGGGCTGTGGTCCCTGAAATGCCTGAATGAGAGGTGCACCTGGTAGCTCATGGGGTGTACCTGGCAACTGGCTAGCTGCACTTGGCAGCTTGCTGGCTGCACCTGGCAGTTCACTGGTTGCACTTGGCAACTCGCTGGCTGTGCCAGGCAGCTCCCTGGCTGCTTCTGGCAGCTCTCTCTCTTTGTCCTTGTCCTCCATCTCCAGTGACTCCTGCTGGATATCCCTGGCTTTGCTCGTGGCTACCATCTGCTGCAGCATGGCCTCCACAATGGGCACCATCATGGCTGTGGTGGCAGTGTTGCTGATCCACATGGACAGGAAGGCTGTGACGCACATAAAGCCCAGCATCAGCCTGCAGAGGAAGGGAAGAGAGGAAAGCCAGAGTCTTTTACACTCTACCCACCACATCCCAGGGCACAACTGGGAGCTGGAGCCACCCTTTCTGCCAACTCAAGACCAGGTATTTCAACAGGGGATGGAAAGTTGATCAGCTCCCCTTTTTCTCTCTTTCTCTTCTCCCCTCCCTCCTTCCTCTTTGTGAGTTCATTTTTATTGTCAACTTGACTGGATTAAGAAATGCCTAGGAGATTAGTCTAAGCACACCTCTGAATATGACCAACAGAAAGAGACCAGGAAATCATGAAAGTTCTGGCATAAAGAATAGATCAACCCACTGATTTATTCATAATATGATGGCATTACAGGGAGGGGATAGATGAGAAGTGGGGCCTATGATCTACCCAGCCATGGGCTTTTGGCCCAGTTATTGGTACCAGGCATGAGTTCTGTCTTGTGGTGCAAGCCTTAAATCTGATCTGAGGATGGCTGGTTACTCCTATAATGTTCACACCACTATTGCACCAGTGAGCATATACAGGTGGGAATAGGGGAGAAATTGGAGAGGGGGTAGACTTGATCAAAATATTTCATATGTGTGCATGAAATTCTCAAACAGTAAAAAAAAGAGATGGGGCCTACTAGTAGGACTGTATCTCACCCTGACCTCTACTTTCTCTCTCTCTCTCTCTCTCTCTCTCTCTCTCTCTCTCTCTCTGGCTCTGTCTCTCTCTCTCTGTCTCTCTCTCTCTCTCTCTGGCTTCCTGTCTGACACAGCTACCATCATAATATTCTGCTCAAGCACATAGGGCCAAGCCTCCATGGACTGAACCCTCCAGATCTATAAGCCCAAATAAATCCTTCCTCCTTTAAGTTGTTCTTCACAGAGATGAGAAAAATAACTATATGTTCTCCCAATTACCCTTCCTCTTATAACCATTGCTGATGTCTACACTGCTGGTTGTTGGGTCAACAGGGGGCCTCAAAGTCAGCTGTGGTCCCAAGAAGTTCCCATTTAGCAGAGGGGCTTGCTTTAGTAAGACCCAGGGCGTGGAGAGCACCCCTATGTACAGGCAGCTTGTATCTAAGAAGATTCCCACTGTCCCACACAGAGCATCTCCTCTCCTAAATTCCAAAGGTCTGTGCAGAATCAGCCTTGCCATCCAGTGGCTGGTCTTCCACCTCCCCCAGGATGGCCAGCTGTGTCACACTCTACTCCCCTGTCTCAAGGACCCCCATCAAGCCATGTGGCCAGAGAAAGGAGGCATACTTACCGTGTGGGGTCAGTCCCCAAAAAGAGCAGCATACGCACAGCAATCCTCTTGTGCAATCTCCAGCGCTCCACAGCCACAGCCACGATGAGGCTGCCCAGGAACAGCACGTTGGTGTCCTTCATGTACTGGAGACACACCTGGAGGGTGGCAGGATACCCCATCAAGGCAGTCCTCAAGATATCCAAGCAAGCCAGATACCGATTTCAAAGACAGCTTGGAGTGACCTGTCTCTACACCTGTCTTAGGGGGATCCACCACTGGGCTCCTGCAGTCACTCTCAGGCCTAGGAAGCTCAGAGGGGCTCGGAGAAGTAAAGGGTGCAAGGGAAAACCAGAAAGTCTCCAGCCCTAGCTAGATTTACTTACCTTCTTGGAGTCCAGTATCTTCAAGAGTGGGAAGAGCAAGATGGGCAAGAGGGAGGTGGCAGCCACTGGGATGACATCTGTGCACCAGTAGATAGCCATGATGAGGATGACATAGGCACACCTGACAAACTAAAGAGACAACGCTGAGGCCCAGCAGGCCTCACTTCTGCATTCCTGCTTCCCTGGGAGGCAGCTGGCATGGATCTCTGTGGGTGGGGGTGCAACTGTCCAGGTTCGGGACAGCTGGAAGGACCCAGGATGTGTCCCCAAGTCCAGCCTGCTCCTGCCTCTCTCTGCCTTGTCATATCGTTCCAGGCAGATTCTTTCATCTTCCCAAACCTGGGTTGTCACCTCTGGAAAGGAAGGACTAGGAAGAAAAGGAGAGAGAAGAAAGGGAAAGGGGTAAACTAGAAAGGAGAGGAGGAGGAGGAGGAAGGGGAAGAAGAAGAAAAGGAGAAAGAGGAAAAGAAAATACCACTTTAAACGCCCTTGTGATGATTACTATTGACAAATCGATAGGCTCTACAATCACCTATGAGTCAGACCTCTGGGGATGCCTGTGAGGAATTATCTTGATTAGGCTAACTGAAGTGGGAAGACTCACCCTAAAAGTGCATGGCGCAATTCCCTGGGTTTGGGTCCTTAACTGTGTAAAAAGGAAGAAGGGGGCTGAGCAGAAACACCCATCCTTTTCTGCTTCCTGCAGATGCAATGTGACTAGCTGCCTCAAGCCAGGCCTTCCCTGCCATGATGGACTGTAGCCTCCCACTGTGAGCCAAAATAAACCCTTTGTCCCTTAAGTTGGTTTTGTCACAGCAACAGAAAAAGTAGTTAATACAATCCTTTTGCAAAGAAGCACAATTCTCCCTTGTGCAAACCGACTATGTGATTCTCTCTGTTCTTTCTTTCCACCTCTGTCAACATCTACCATAGGCATTTCTTCCTCTGGCTCAGGTTGATCATTTTGAAAACTGCAAATTGGGCAAATGGCTTCCTGTCTTCCTACAACTGAATGACTTCCTTTCCTCTCTGCCCTCAACAGAGACTGAGGTCCTCCTGCTCTTTGGCTCACCTACTTTATGTCTGTCCCTAAATTCTCAATCCCTAGTGCTCATTTCTTTCTCAAATGGCTGCTCCAAGCCTCTGAACTCCCAGAATTGTAGCTGTAAACGTGTTTATCCCAGAAATAGCCACCACTGAGGGTTTCCACAGTTTCCTGATTGTTATCTTGGTACAATTGAGAAAAAGGTGCTTAGTGTTTTCGATAGCATCTCTCCCACCACAGAGGTATCCCGGGCAGCTATTTGCCTTCAGTCTTGTGCATACAGTATTCACGTACTTTAGTTTCAGCCACTGAAGTCTTAGCTCTGGTGTGAGCCAGAGCTGACTTCCTATGCAAGCACTTGCTGCCATGCATAGCCCCTCACTTGCTGTAGGACTTGGGGTAAGTCACTGAACATCTGTTCAGATGCAGATAATCATACCAACCTCCTGTTTGATGTTTCATCAGCATCCTTAGTAAAATCAGCATTCAGTACAAGCCATGCTCTTGCCCTATTCCAACCTCCTCCAATTAAGTCAGTCACCAAGCCCCATGGCTCCTATCCTTTTGTTCTCAGACCTCCACTCGTACCCCCTTCGTCCTGTTAGATGGAAAGGGTGCCATTAGATGATTTTTGTTATTTATTGTTTGTTTTGAGACAAGGTCCTGCTCGGTCACCCTGCTGGCCTGGTTCTGTCAATTTTCTTCTCCCCTTCACCTCTGGTGTGCTGAGATTACAAGTGGTTACAACCATGCCCGGCAAGATGATACTGTGGACCTGATCTATACTAGGCTCCCAGATAATAGACAAAAACCAAACCAGAGTCTCTCGTGCTGAGGTTCCATGTCACCAAGTCCAACCCATTGTCTGGCTTTCCAATTGGGAGAGAAGGGTAAGAACCACTGAGCAAAACAGTGTCAAGCCACATGATGATGAAGTCCCTCCGTGTTTAGTCCCTCCTCCATGTTTGTTTAGTCCCTCCTCCATGTTTAGTCCCTCTACTATTTCTATTGTTCTGACTCCCGGTCCCCACTTTTAAAGGAAAGTATTTTTGAAATGGTCAGTCCAATCTTTGCTTTTCTGTTTGTTTCTGCTTTTTCATTCCTGGCCTTTTTATTTTTATAAAAGGAAACTTCTTCTCAGCCTATTGGAATGCCCATTCTATTTTATGACATGAAGTGTTACCATATTCTCACTGAAAATAAAGCTGATTGGGCCAGGCATGAGAGTACATGCCTTTAATTCCAGCACTCAGGAAGCAGAAGCAGAGGATCTCTGTGAGATGGAGGTTTACATAGTAAGTTCCAGGCCAGCTGGGGCTACAAGGAGACCCTTTTCTAAAAAAAACAAAAACAAAAACAGATCTTTGAACTGAATTTGTGGTAAAATTTGCTTTTGGACGGTCCCTACCACCTCTGTCTTCTACCTGGAAGAATTTGTATTTTTCCATCAACCCACAATGTTGCCCCTCTTTTCAAGGCTCATCATACCATCCTCTTGTTTAAAAGCCCCTGTTGCTTTCTGGACCAAACCTGAACACCTTAGCCAGGTTCACACAGCCCTTGCCATAGGCCAGGTCCTGCTGACTACACCAGCCCCAGGTCCTTGCTCACTCACACTTCATATCCAAGCTATCCCAAAGCACATGTGAAACTGAGGCAAGATGCTCCCTTCACCCAGCTGCCTCTCACCTTTTCTTTTGGCCTGGAGAGAGGATTTACCATTCAGCTAGGTACTCCATTGTGGGTCCCTTCCTTACCCTCCACAGTTTGGCCTGTGCCATTCTTCTGAGTGTCCCTGGCAACAATCACACTGGAGTGTCATTGTTTCCTTAATGCTCACTGGAGTGTCATTGTTTCCTTAAAGCTCTCCCTCTGTCATCGGTATGGGACCAGAGGGCACAAATGATATTGGTAGTCAATGAGTCCATGGTACCTAGCACAGTTCAGTACGTCCCAGATGCTCCACAAGTGCTGAGTAAAGGAGTCAGGGCACAACCTCCAAGTCCTCCTAGGACTGATCTGCTAAGAAGAGCTGCGCCCAGACACCTCCACTCCACTCTTCCTTACCACAGGAGCATTAGCAGATTCGGAAGACACTGGAGCAGACATAAGTAGTCTTCATCTGAGTTGTGTTATCATCAGTCATCTTAACAAAAAAAAAATCTTGAGCTGGAGAGATTGGCTCTGCGGTGAAGAGCACTGGTGGCTCTTGAGCAGAGGATCTGCGTTTGATTCCCAGCAACCATGTAGCAGCTAACAACCATCAATAACTCCAGTTCCAGAGGATCCAATGTCCTCTTCTGACCTCTGAGGGCACTGTTTGACACGGGTGCACTGACATACATGCAGGCAAAACATCATGCACATAAAATAAAAATAAATACTCTTAGGCTGGGTGTATGTCTTAGTGGTAGAGTACTTACCTAGCATATGTGAGGTTCTTGGTTAAATCTCTATCACTGCAATCAACAAATATTTTCAAAGAAAAGTTGCACAAGAAACCCTATTGACTGAAGCCTTTTCAGTGGTGGGAGGGACAGCTCCTTGTGTGGGGGCTAGTCTATGCAAGGTAGGATGTTTGCAGTACCCTTACTCTCCACCAAGAGACACCAGTAGTGTTCTCTACAACTGTGACCACAAAAGTCATCTCCACAATTTACACATAGCACCTACTTAGGGGAGGAGAGAAAATCAAGGGACTCTAGAAACTGTCACCCAGAAAGATGGTGTCCTGAAATGTTGATTCTTTCACATTGAAAGAAGTTAGAGAGCAACAGATGTTGGCAGAGGCTCTACTATGAGGCTGTGTGTGTATTTAAAGTCAGGCCATACCAAAAAAGAAGGAATTGTCTCTGGTCCCTCTCCAGAGTCTTCATTAACTGAATTCATAAGGCAGTAAGAAAAATTGAAGTCTGAACTGGGTATGGCGGCTCATGCTTGCAATCCCAGCATTTAAGAGGCTGAGGCAGGAAGATCATTGCAAGTTTGAAGTCAGCTTGGACTATATAGTGAACTTTAGGATGGCTTAGGATACACAGTAAGACCCTAGCAAAAAAAAAAAAAAAGAAAAGAAAAAAACCAACAACAAAAAACTCAGTCTGTCAACACACCTGGAAAGACTTGTCACACACCATTGGCCTCCATTTCAGGCATCGTTCCATCGTCTATTCTGTGGGACCCAATGAATTTTGTCCCTGGCCATTGTTTATTTCTCTAAACCCACTGAATTCCCCTAAAAATAATTTACTATTCCCCTAGAAATTGCCTACACTCTCATGGTTCCCTTCCCCTTTGGAGTAGGATATATGAGCTTTGGAATCGCTCTGGGCTAGTGGGGAATGACTTTTGTGCCGAATGAATTTGTGTATCTTTTCTTCTCGTTCATCATTCTGTTGTTAGTTCATTCCAACAAACCATCAGAGAGGTAAAGGAGAGCCTTTCCTTCTGCTTCTGCAAGATGGATACTAGCTAAAAGTCACTCAGTGAGCTCTGGAGTAGGGGGAAAAGGGGATTCCTTAAGGTATGGGTAATAAAAAGGTGTGTTGTAGAAAAGCTTCAAGCAATAATAGTAAAAAGCAGTCTGCTTCTAAGCAATGCCATTCACAAGACACCTCTCCTGCCCTCAACCCCGGACTCATGTCTGTGAACTGAGGACTTCAGAGGGCCCATACTTAAAGTGTGGCACTCAGAAACTCCTTGATAGTTTTAATCTCTAAACTTTAGCTGTAGTAGATGTCCTGTGTGATCATTTTCACAGTGGAAAAGGATGGAACACAAGAGAACTGTTTTTCCTCACCTCCTCCTACGTGATTAGGAAGTTCTGAATATCAACTGACACACCTGATCCTTCCTAATCCAGATGACTCACAGTGTCAGTAGAGCAAGCAGAGTATGAAGGAGCTGTGAGGGAAGTCTGGGGAAGGTGCTGGAGAGGTGGCTCAATCAGTAAAGTGCAAACATCAATCCCTAGAACCCATGAGAAACACCAGGTGCTATGGCACACACCTTCTGGTACTGAGGAGGTAGAGACAGGCAATTCCACTGGGCTCACTGGGCGGCCTACTTGGCGAGCTCTAGGGCAGTGAGAGACCCTGCCTCAAAAAATCAAAATGGACAGCACCTGAGAAAGGACACTCCAGGTTGACCTCTGGCCCCCACTCGAACAAGCACATAGGTGCACACATACATATACACAAATAAAGTGAGGGTGTGGCAACCTTAAAGAATGAGAAGGATTCTATGTAACTTTATAGCACTTCCCTGCAATTGAAGAAGTGTCTGGAAAAGCGAGTTAGGCTGAGATAAAAGTAGGCAAGAAAGAGCTCAATAGAGGTGGGACCATAGCATACAGAAACTATCAAAGGAGAAATGGGGAAAATGGGGACACTTTAAATGAGGAGGATAGGGAGGGAGGATAAGACAGGAAGAGAAAGAGGAGAGATAATAGTGCCTAGCTAGTAAAAAAAAAAACAGAGGGAATCGTATTAGTCCAAAAACCTGCTGAAAAATTACACATACAATATCCCTGCATGAGTCCGTGAGTAAAGCTGAAGACTATATAACAAGAAACAGTGCCAGACAGGAGAAACCTTCCTTTGAGTCGTTGGTCAGGGTGGTCCAGAAGACTCCCAGAATTATACAGGCTATTGCCACAACCCTTGATTGCCTCCCAGAACTTGAAGGTAAGACCTTATTGCTGAAGACAGGATATACTTTGAACACAGGATTTGGAGCAATGGAGCTAGAACTGACCTGAAAGCCACCTCCCCTGAAGGCTAGCTCTCATAGCTTGGAAAGCACAATGCAAGCTGCTAAGGGAGAACATCAACTGATGGTCCAACCCCAGCTTCAAGGCCTAAAAACCACATCAATGACTGGCACAGCAAACGACATTGGTGCAGTAGTGGCACTTTTATCTTTGGGATAATCAACAGCTACTTAATTGGACTTAAAGCCCACTCAATGGGAGGAAACTTATATGTAGACTGTAGACCTAGCCAAATATAGATAGCTGAAGAAGTCACAAATCTAAGAGAAAACACCAAGGCTGTCACATCTCTAGACAAATGTAATTTCTTACTATGTGCAAAATATGGACCCTTAAATTTAAGACAAGTATCCCAGTCACCACCTATCAAAGTAGCTTATTTTTCAACAGACAGAGATTATTATAGAGTTACACCACTGGTCACACACAGAGACTCTCTGTAAATTGCCCAAGCCCAAATGGCACATCTAGAATGCAACTCTATACCGAAGACTCACAAAACATAGAACAAGGGATGTAGAGAACACTAATGCGTCTTTCAGTTCTCATCAATGAAGCTCCCTCATGCAACAGAGGGCCAGGAACACAAAAGGCCACAAGTGGCCAAAATGCACGCAGTAAGAGTCGACAGAGCGTGGGTTCTTAGACAGGACTTCTATATTGAGATCCATCCACCCAGGGATCAGGGACCATTGTGGAAGAGAGGGACGAAAGATTGTAAGAGCCAGGAAGGGGGTGCATGACCATACAGAAATAATCCTATAGGCACCTGGGACTCTTCTCATACAAACCTAGAGCAACTGGGATTAAAGGTGTGTGTCACCATGCCCGGCGAAAGTAGCTTCTTTTTCAAGAGACAGAGATAATTACAGAATTCCACAACTGGTCACACACACAGATTATCTGTAAATTGTCCAAGTATAAGTGGCACATCTAGGCTGCAACCTCTACACCTAAGGCTCAAGGAACGTAGAACAAGGGATGAAGAGAACACTAATGCATCTTTCAAGCCCCATCAATGAAACTCCCTCAGGCAACAGAGGGCCAGGAATGCAAAAGGTCACAAGTGGCCAAAATGCAGAGAATAAGAGTCTACAGAGTGTGGGTCCTTGGACAGGACTTCTATATTAAAATTCACCCACACAGGCTCAGGGACCATTGCGGAAGACGGGGTTGAAAGATTGTAAGAGCCAGGGAGGTGGCACATGACCATAAGGAAATAGTCCTACAGGCACCTGGGACCCTTCTCATACAAACCTAGAGCAATGGTGTCAGCATGCACAAGACCCATGCAAACTTAGACAGACAAAAACCCAGACAAAACTGTGGAAATTAACAGCAGGCCCCAATCTTAGTCAAAGAATCATTGGCAGCTGATTACTGCTGAATGAGGAAGAGCTGTTCTTCTTGAAGGGAAAGACTCAGGGTAGGCTGACCAAACCCCAGTAGGTGAACTTGCATTGAGGGACACCTTGGAACACTAACCTTACATGAACTCAGGGTGGCGGCGGGGGGCGTCTATGGGAGGGTGCCAAAGGGTAAGGGGATATAAAGATGATTTTATGTATGAAATACACAAAAATTTAATAAAAATTTATAATAAATAAACTCAAAAAAAGTTTAAAAAATGGTCAAAAGTTACCTTTTCAAAAAAAATTAAGGGCTCATGCACTTACCTACCATAAGTGAAGCCTTGGGTTTAAAATGTAGCAAAGCAAAAATAAAAATTTAAACAAAGAAGAAACAAAATACTGAGCAAATGTGAAAAAAATAAAAGTAGGCAGTGGGATTTAAAAGGCCTGTACTGAGCACAGAACCTAGCACAGAGCTGGGTGCAGTAAGTACATATGCACAACTGCATACACCAGGGCTGAGTGTTCATCTGCCCGCAGTCATGCATCACTCATTGAGGACCACATTCTAAGCAATGTGTGCTATGACATCATTAAGTGCTAGAATATGATCAGACCCCAGTCAGAAATGTGGTCCAGTGTTGAACAGAAAGTGATTATATAGCTCATTATGCAGTGTGTAATGAAAAGTATAGGCAAAACACTGCATGTGTGCGTGTGCGTGCGTGCGTGTATACGTGTGTGTGTGTGTGTGTGTGTGTGTGTGTGTGTACGTAAGACAGGAGAACTGGCTGGCTGGTTTCTTGGAAGATATCCACCAAAGTATTAATAAATTATGGCTATTGAGTGTATTCTCACTTTATACTTTACAGACTTGTAAAAAGAGGATTTCTTATAAGTGGAATAAAGTAAGTAGGATTAAATGTTATTAAAGTGTCTTTTGGGAGGGAAGGAAGGAGGGAGGGAGGGAGGGAAGGGGGGAGAGAGAGAGAGAGAGAGAGAGAGAGAGAGATCAGACCGGAGGTGAGGAAGCAAGTAAAGCAGAGAAGACAAAAGGCTCGGGGTGGGAAGGGGCCAGTGGGCCACAGGGGGCAGCATGCTCCTGGAGTCACCACCTGGTGGAGACAATGGTGCCCAGGCTGCCAAGGTTCCACTGACTTCTTGTGCCATACCTCTGATTTTTCTTGCAGAATGAGAGATGGCATGGTGGGTGGGGGCAGGGAGCTCTTCAGTGGTGACCAAAACAGGCACAAAGGGAAAAGCAGGAAGTGAAGGACTAAGGCTCTCAGGACCCAACCTAGTTGGGGGGAAGGTACAGAAGGACAGCTTTTGGAAGAACTTCCACTGGGGTCTTCCTGCCCCTCCCCTGACCTTCATTCCGAGGGCAGCTTAATGACACAGACATATACACCATAGTTGGGAACTAGTTTACCTACCAGTGTGTTATGCATGCCAGGGATATATTGGGGTCCCATTTACACTGCCCTCTACTAGGAAGGTCAACCAAGTGACTGTAATTATTCCATGGAACATCACTCCCCACCAGCAGAGCTAAAATCACAGCTTTCCCAGTCTGGCTGCCTCCCACGCACAGAACCAGTCTTGAATCTCTTTCCCCAGAGGAAACATGGATGTTCACTGACATTGTGGCAACTGAACAGCCACCAGTTAGTTTGCTGTCCTTGGGCATCCAGGACCTCTGCTCAGTGCATCCCAGTTTTCACCTCAAAGTGCCTAGGAACCAGCGTGATCCCCTTTTACTCTCAAAGTGTTTGAATCCAATCATGGGACTGTACAGATGAGAGCACTTAAGGCCCAGAGCACACAGGGTCTTGGTGAGGGGCAGAAGGTAAAGTGAATGGTGCACCCTTCTCCTCCAAGACAGCCCTCAGAGCATTCCCTGAAGAGTCCCACTGTTTCCCAAACCTGCTTGGGGAGGGGAGGCAGGAGCAGGCACTGAGGTTTCCTGTCTGGGCTGAGAGTGAAAAAGCTGAAAGAAGGGATTGAGAAGGAATGGCCAGCAGCCACAGAAAGCTTCAAAGAGCCAAGGCCTCTGCCAAACTGACTGCATACAGTCTCCTGGAGCTGGGCCACGGTGCCTGCCCCGCCCCTGCCCTGCAGCCAAGGCCATTCATTCTCTCCCTTCCTCCCAGGAGCACTAGGAGGCTGGGGCATGGAACACAGCTTCCCTACAGTCCTGGGCCATGCCACCCAAGGTGTGTGCTCTGGGAACGTGTCCCGCCACAGCCACAGCAGGCAGTGGGCAGTGAGGAGCAATGTGAACCTGCCTTTCAGCCTGTAGCAGAGCTGTAAAGAAATGTGGATCGCAGATAGGGAAACCGAGGCTCAAAAACCAGGACCAGAGAGTTGCAAAGCAGTATACAGGTGATGATGCTTTCCTGTAGGTGCCTGACTGAAGCCGCGTACAGCTGGTAAGTGTCTATCCCCTAGGGTAGAGATGCGGGAAAGACCAGCCCAAAGGCTCCCTGCTCCTGTGAGAGGCCTCTTACGGGCTGGGATGTCGCTGGCTGTGCACTCTGGGGAGATTCTGAGTCAGAGGCTAAAGTGCCTGTGGCAGGGTCTGTGGGGTTAAGACCTGAGCTCACGGCCAGGTCTCGGTGTCTGCCCGGACATTCTTGCACCCTGCCATCCGTGCACTCTAGGGTGCATGCACCATTAGAGTCTCTGCACCCCTCGGATTCTTTGCAGGGCACCTCCCATCTGGCTCCTGGAGCCTCTGAGCACGCCCTAGGCATGGGAATCCATGCGTTCCAGCTCTGCAATCCCGTGTTCTATTCCCGTTATTGCACTGAGCGGCCGGCATCCGCCCGGTTGCCCAAACACGTAACTGACCTTGTAGGGTGCCAGAATGACGAGTGGCAGCAGCAGGATAGGGGTGAAGAACAAAATCACGAAGGATTTGAACTTGGACACATAGGACTTCAGCGTAGCCATGGTTCAGAAGGGAGACTGGAGGGAGAGATGAAAGCGAGGCAGCTAGAGGGCTTCACAGGCTTAAGAAGGGGCCGCGCGGTCCCTCTGGGTGGGGGGGGGCGGGGGGGGCAGCGACAACTCCACCCCCGGCGGCGGAGCCTCCTCGCGGTCCCTGGGCCGGGCCACCTCTTGGTGTCTGTGGGACGCCCCAGTCCCTGACTCTGCCACCCTGCGGCGGCTGGAGGCGTCTGCGGATTCCAAGGCTTGGCCCCAGACCTCAGAGGGCGAGGGCGCCTGGCACCGCACCGCTCGCCAAGCCTGGCACTGCTCTCTGCGCTGCCCCTGGGCAGAGCGGGGTGTGCGGGTCGTTCTGCCCGCTTTAGCGTGCGGACCCTTTCTGTACCTGCCCTCTCCTGGGATCTGGAGGGTCCCAGAGGAAAGGCTCCCCCGCCTCTGGGTTTCCTAGTTTTCTTCCGACAGCAGTCCTACCCATCCGGATCCCAAAGGAGGTATATGTCTCCTTAGAGGCGGTGGCTGTGCCCCCGGCCACTGCGGTTCCCTCTCCACCAGGACCCGCTGGCTTCCCCCTGCATTAGCCCTACTCTAGACAGGACCCACTCCGCCCGGCTCCCCCCTCCCACATGTGCCTTCTCCCAACCAGCGCACCTAGGCGCTCTTCCGAGACCGCTGGGGAAGGAAGGCGATCCTTGCACTCTGCAGTTCCGATCCCTTTCGGCCTCCAGCCGACGCGCGCGCCTGGCGGACTACCCTCCAGGCGCTGCGTGCACAGCACTGAAGCCTGCAGCCCGCACGCCTACTGCATGGCTATTGCCATTTTATGGCGCAAGGTGAGGCTCTAGAGAGGAGTGGACATAACCCTAAAAGAGGTGAGCATTCATTCATTCATTCTGCCGGGCAACAAAGCTGCCTGCTGTGGTAAGCTCTGTTTGGGGCAAAGATATTGGCACCTCTATTACTTTCTATCTTCTGAAGTCCTGTCTGATTCTGCGGCTTCCTTTGGAGCCACAGGCTGCCTCTTAGAGATTACAGGATTCATGGCTGAGTACCAGATTCCCACACTGTCTGCTCTCAACCATCCATCAAAATACTACCTTGTTTAGGCCTAGCAGGCTGCCTCTGTACTAAACATATACAGATAGATGCTTTCCTTGTTATAAACGACAGAGAGCAACTGTTAACGCATTTACATTGTATTAAGTGCTCTAATCTAAAGGTGAATTAAAGAATAGGGTGAATGTGTGTAGGTTATATGCAAATACTATACACTATGAGACCAGGACCCATGGATTTTGATTTTCCTGAGAGTTCTGGAGCCAACCCACCCCTGTCCCCTATGCCCAACCCTGCCACCACTACCAGGGAGAAACTATTTCCAATGCTTCAGAATCTGTGTAAATCCCAAGCCCTATAACATGTATTTGAACCAAGTTAACCAAGGACACATAGTCTCTCAAGTCCAGCTCTGATGGCATTCTTTAGACCCTCCTTTTTTGTGCTTTGCATCCATTAGGCCCAGCATCCCCCTTCCTTCCCTGCCCGTGCCCCAGGGCAGTTAGCACGGTTCGTACCTATAGATTTCTTAGTGTGGTTTGTATTTAATGTTGGTTTTATTTGTCATCCTGTGTCCAGTCAGCACCCTTTACTAGGCCTTATCTGAGGTGTGAACTCAAAACATTTTCTCTGAGTTGTGTAAATAAGCATAACCCAACCATTTCAGTCATAATTCAAGTGCTTTAAAGAGGGTATAACTTGTGCTTTGCAGTTAGATGCCTGGATCCATATTCTAACCCTGTCTTGCCCCAGTTCTGGGTCTGAAGTGTTTCCATTCCAATGTATTTTCTCATAAATGGAGAGAGTCCCACCGACTTTGATTTCAACAAGCTGTTTTGAAACTCTAGTTCTCTGAGTCTGTTTAACAAGGTGCTTTGGCATTTAGTAGAGGAACCAGTAATATTTGCTCTTGCAATTAATTATATGTGACATACTTTGGGTGCTGGGAGCTAAACTCCAGTTCACCACAAGAGAGTACATGCTCTTAACCACTGAGCCGTTTCTTCAGCCCCCCATCTTGACTTTAGAGACAAGGTCTCTTAACTGGCTAGGAACTTGCCAAGTTGGCTAGGCTGGCTGGCCAGAAAGCCCCAGGGATACACCTGTCTCTACCTCCCCACCACACTTGACTTTAGTGAATACTGTGGATCCATCCCTGGCCCACAGGCTTGTGCAGCAAACACTTGACCAACCATTTCCTCGGGCTCTCCTGTTCCCTACCAAGGGATTAAAAAAATTTTTTTTCTATTTTTTATTTTTTATGTGTATGAGTGTATTGCCTACATATATGAAAGGGCACCCTGTCGTGCAGTGCCCATGGAGGTCAGAAGAGGGCGTCAGACTTCCCTAGAACTGGAGTTACAGACTGTTGTCAGTCGCCATGTGGGGGTGCTGGGAATCAAACCCTGGTCTTCTGTAAAAGCAGCCAGTGCACTTAACTGCTGAGCCATCTCTCCAGCCCCCTCTACCATGGAACTTTTAACAAACCTAAAATTCAAGAAAAAGGATAATTTTAGAAAATAGTAGGTGGGTTGGGGAATTTCTTTTAGATTTCAAGATGGCAAAATTATGACTGATGCATTCATTAGCTATTGGTCTGATGATAGAAAGTAGAAGTGTGTACAAGGACCTGGAAATGGGCCTGTGCTTGTAGGCAGAGACAGAAGAGTGAAGCCAGCCAGAGCTAGCCTGCATCTGCTTTCAGCACTATGTCGGTTTGTTTATAGCAGCATAGACATTTTTCTTTCACTAAATACTAAAAAGAAAAGGATGATTATGATTTCTCATAGTTACTTCTGATTTTTTTTCTTCATGAGTCTTGATTTCTCCCAGAAGCTGAACACAGACCTTCATCTATGTATGCATCTTGATTTACCAAAGGAATGCTCCACGTCTGTCCTGCTTCTGCTTTACAAATAAAAATCTGGCCGCATATTTCATTGTGTTCCAGCAAGTGAAGTGATGAAAAAAGAGTATATCGACAACATAAAGCACATAAATTCCATTGCGGCTGTCACTTTGCCTTGATAGCAGTGGTATGGCTTCTTAGTAACCTATCCTCAACGAAAGCTCTATATTTTCTCAATTTTTAAAAATGATTTTATTTTTATTTTTAATTATGTGTACATATGTCTCTGTGTGGGTATGTGCACAACAGTGCAGTGCCCACAGAAGCCAGAAGAGAGCATTGGACCACCTGGAATTAAAGTTATAGGCAGTTGAGAGCTGCCCAACATGGATGCTGGAAACTGAACTCGGGTACTATGAAAGAGCAGCAAGTGCTCTTAACTACTGAGCTGTCTCTGCAGTGCTTCTTCCTTTCCTCAGTTAAAAAAAAAAAAAAAAAAGTATCACACCTTTAATCCCAGAACTCAGGAGGCAGAGGCAAGTGGATCTCTATGAGTTTGAGGCCAGCTGAGGCTTCAGGAAGACCCTGTCTCAAAAAGACCAAAAATAAATATATATTTTTGAGACCCTGTCTCAAAAAATAAATATATAAGTAAATACATAAATTTAATTGAAATAATATCGCTTAAAATATGAATCCAAGCATTAAGATGTATTTCTTGAACCCAAAAATAAATTTTGGGGCTGGAGAGGCAGCTCAACAGCTAAGAGCACTGGCTGCTCTTGCAGAGGACACAGGTTCGGTTCCCAGCACCCACATGGCAGCTAACAACTGTCTATAACTCCAGTTCTGGGGGATCCGACGCCCTCTTCTGGCATCCTCAGGTATTGCACACATGAATGCACTTAAAAACATGCAGGCAAAACACTTGCACACATAAAATAAAAATAAATTATTATCTAACTGAAGATATGTACATAAAATTATTTGGGGATATTTAGTAAATAATGGTTATACAGTATGTAACTGTGTGATGTAATTTTCAACCTTATTTGAATCACTTAACAAAATTTTAATATAAAACTGAAGTATAAAAGTCTGCATTTAGTACAAGAGCTTTAAAATATATGTTTCATCAACTTGACTTCAGTTTCAATGTGCAGTTGTTACTCTCTGGTCAAAATGAATTAATATTAAATTTTTGGAATCAGACTAAAGGTGGGTTGATTACAAATGGAGATGCTGAAGTAAATGGGGACAAAAATGCTCTTGGATGCAGTGAAGCAGCAGATGCAACTCATCAAAAGGCAGGCTCCAGGAAAGATATAAATATGGTAGCAGTTTTCCATGCCTCAAAATGCCAAATACAATCAAATCAGAGCTTAGAGTAAAACACTGATAGTTTGCCATCTCACTAGCAAAATCACTGATTTACAAAACCATCTTTTGTGCAAAAGCATCAAATTAGAGAACAGTCAGTCTCTAAAATTGCACCCATTAATTTTACATGGGGAAAGTGGAGAGTATCAGTAACAGTGTTAAGAAAACCTAACGTGTCCATGGGTAAAGTCTAACTTGGGAAATTCTTAGGAATAGCATCATTCATGGAAGGATCACTATACATGATTTCAAAGTGTACCAAAGAGCGATGGCAACAGAAATAACATGGTGCTGGCACAAAAACAGATGTGCAGGTCAATGGAATAGAATAGTGGACCCAGGGGCAGGGGATAGAAAAAAACCCTGCAACTGTAGTTGCCTTATTCTTGATAAAGGTAACAAAAACTTACATTGGAGGGGCTGGAGAGATATAGCTCAGGGGTTAAGAGCACTGGCTGCTCTTGTAGAGGACACGGGTTTGAGTCCCAGTACCACATGGTAGGTAACAACTCCAGTTCCAGAGGAATTACTGAGGACACGGGTTAGATTCTCGGCACCCACATGGTAGCTAACAACTCGTTACAGGGGAATTTAACACCCTTTTCTGACCTCCGCAGGCACTGCATGACACTGGTTCACTTACATGCAGGCAATACACTCATACGCATAAAATAAAAACAAATAAAATATTAGAAATACATTGGGGAAAAGGAAGCCTCTTCCACAAATGGTGTTGGGAAAAGTGAACATCCCCATGTAGAAGAATGAACTAGACAGATCCCTG